TAAAATGACCAAAACAATAATTACTATAACATAAAAAATACTATTATACTGATAGCTTAGTGCTTTATATTTGCATAATTTTTTTTTTCAGTTTTTTACCTAAAATAGATCTAAAGAGAAAAAATTACCATATACTCACAAGAAATTAATGTAAATTTATAATTACTATCTACTTTAATTATTTAATCCTTCTATTTAATTTTAGTGAATCTAATTTTTTTATCTAATAAAATAAAAATGTAATAATTAATTGACAAAATTTAATATTTATTTTTAATTAATAATTATTTTAATAAATCTTTTTATTTAATATATGTTGTAATTATTTTTTTAAAATAAAGGTGAAGTACAAAAAAATGTATTATATGGCATCTTAAAATAGACAAGTAAATTTAAATACCTAAATTAAAAATTAAATATATTAAAATTTAATTAATATTTCATCTGTTACAAAATATCTATATTTTTTTTATAAAAATATATATTTATAGCAATAAATTTGAAACGGTATACAAAAAATTCTGATTTCCAATATGTATTGTTTCAGTAGTAAAACCGGTATGCATGCTAGTATGGTATTGACAACTTTGGGTTCAAGTGTCCACACTCCATAGCAAGTGAGAAAACGGGTGCTCTTAGCACCAACACTAAGGTTGTCAAAATTGAGAGTTTAAGTAAAATCATTTTGGTAAGGTAAAATCAAAATTATAAAATTAAATCTGTAAAATTAAAAATTATAAAATTAATTTAAAATTTATATATTACTAAAATTTAATATCAAATTTTTAAATTTAAAATTTATCTAAGAAGTTTTATTATTAATTAATTATTTTAAATCTTTTTTGAACATCTTTTTATTTTATAGTTATTAAATTATTTTAAATTTTAATAATTTTGACGTAAAAAAAATTTTATAATAAAATATTGTAAGTTTAATTTATAAAAAAAATTGACAAAACTTTAAAATTTATGCTTGAAAACTCAAAAATGCCAAATTACTTGATCAAGATTCAAACTACCACCAAACAACTCATGAATAGTTTACAAGTACAATAGCACGAATGCACTGATGATGATTATTAGTCACATTATAACACAAAAATCTACAAAATCTTTTAAATTTGTAAAATCTTGATTTTACATGATTTTATCTAATTTTACGATTTTACTATTTTGATTTTATAATTTTACGATTTTATTATTTAATTTTATGAAATTTCAATTTTAATTTTGATTTTATACAGATTACATATCTAAAATCATAAAATCATATAATTTTTTAATTTAAATCGCAATTTTGACAACCTTACTTAGCACCGCTTATCTTCCATTTTCCTATGTTCCCTCTCTCTTTTATTATGGTACGATTTTCTCTCTCTTAGAATTTATATTTTCTCCCCTCACTCTCTCTTTCACTCAGAAATTTGATCCTAGAAACAATAATCTCGCCTTCAATCATGGTGGATCTAAGGTGAGGTGATGTGCTAAAATCATTAGTAATTCTGCTGAACACTTAAGTAATAAAGTGACGAGAAAATATAAAAATAATTAACTTTAAATTTATTTGAACAATTAAAGGAAATATTTTAATTAAAAATAATTAAAATCAATTATAACATAAAATAAAATCTAATCAAAATATGTAGTATTAAAGCATCATAGTCACCATAATCAAATAAATTATTATGTTTTTAAAATATTTACTACTCATATGATAACAAAATTTTTTATATTATTTGATATATTTCCTTAAATTATATCAAATTTACTTTCACCTATTAAGCCACCATCAAGTTATATTAAATTTATCTTCATTAATTAACTTATTGTACCTCTATATAAATTTTAATATATAAAAATTAATATTTTATGTGAAATTTCTTAATTTATATAGAAACTTTCAAGTTTATTTATCACTAATATTATACAAATCACGTTAGTTTATTGTTATTTTTTATTTAATTCATGGTATATACTATTTGAAATTATTTCATAAAATCTCATCTTAATTTTTTTTTTTGAACATTTTAACATGGAGCGAGTTCGAAACTCACCCAGAAGAGGGGGGAATGCACCCATTCAATGAATAATGCCATTGGACCTCTAGGGTCAAGTGCAATCTCATCTCAATTTTAATTATGCTTTCTATGTTAATTTTAATGTTGATAAAGCATTAAAAAATATTTAAAATAATAGTATATACTCATTATAAAATTATGATTTTAAAAGATATAAATATTATAAAAATTTATATCTAATTAATTAAATTAGTTGGTTATATTAATTCATAATAAAAGTAATAGATAATAAAAATAATAGAATATGGAGTGGTTAGAAAAAGGCAATCAAAAGCTTCCCCAAGCTTTTTCCATTTTGATCTTTAAATGAGTTTTTATGAGATTTTACAGAATAATTGAAATAGAAGTGGGTTACACACTAAAATAAAAAAAACTTAGTTCCTCCCGCTGAAAATTGCCTAAGAATCGACACCTTAAACCGAATTCCCGACACCTTCAGAAATGCGGGAAACAGTCCGAGTCGAGAGTTTTGGGCTAAAACGCAATTTTGGTTCTTCATTGTTAAAAATATTCTGATCCCTGATCTTCTATCAGCTTGAGCCTATGATCCTCAAGGGCCTGATTTTTACAGATTGATCTTAAAAATTATGATTTCTTCCACTTAAGTTTTTTTTTTTTTTTTTTCAAAAATAATATCAAAGCAAAAGGTCTACATTAATATCTATAAAATTTTAATCTATCATACCTCTCTAATACTTGATTGAAAAGTAAGAATACTCTAAGAGTCGTTTTGAAAGGATTGGAGAAAAAATAAAGGCTGGACAGCAAGAAGAGGGATGAGAGAAGGCCATGGCGGCTAAAATAAGAAGAAAACTTTGTTGTCCCGAATTTTATTTTACTTCTTATTTTGAGTAAGTGGGTAATATCTCTAATAATTATGATGCTGATGAGTATCATTACCAGTTGGTGTTTGGATCGATTTGTTTGAGCTAAGCAGAGATTTTGGAAATTCAAAAAAAAGTTCAAATGAGTCTTGTATCCAAACCTAAACTAAATTTTTAATTTTGGTTGCTCAAATTATTTCAGATAATTTGATTAAATAACTGAAATTTATTAAATTACTTTCTCGGTTAATAAAAATTATTTTCATTTTAATTATTTCTATTTAATAAAAACTAATTCTGATAATTT